TGGGGCCCTGGCCAAGGTGGAGGAGAGTGAGGGTGTCCTGAGAGAGAAGGTGCAGTGCCTGACAGAAGCCCTGTCCCAGAGCAGCGCCAGCCTCAGCAGCACCCAGGACAAGAATCTGCAGCTGCAGAAAGCCCTGACTGCCTGTGAGCATGACCGCCTGGTGCTCCAGGTACGCCGGGGTCTGCGGGGGAGGCTGGCGGGAGCCGGGTGTGATAGAAGAGCACCAGGCCTGGGAGAGGGCCAGCCAGTGGAGCTGTCAGCAGGGAGTGCTCAGGAGCCAGGCCATGAGAGAGAGCTCTGAGGGGGGTCGGGGTCAATGGAACACAGCCATTCAGAGTAGGCTGTGGGTGCATGCCTGCTACTGTAGGCTTGGGGGAACCCAGGTGCCACATTCATGGAGGGAATTGGGATGTGATGGCTGCACTCTGTACAGGTCAGTGGACAGGCTCATCCTCCAGGCAAATGACTACCTGTTGCTGGACACATGGCTCATGCCTATAATCCCAGTGCCTCAGGAGGCTGAGGCAGGAGGATTGTAGGTTCAAGGCCAGCCTCCACAACTTAGCAAGATCCTAAGCAACCTAGTGAGAAATGGTAAATAAAAAGGGCTGGGATGTAGCTCAGTGGTAGAGTGCCCTGGGTTCGATCCCCAGGATTCACACACAAAGACTGTTGTATGGGCTGTGAACCTTCCCAGAGGTACAGAGCAGAGGGGAGCCCTTTGCCCTAGGGCTCTTTGGCTGGCCTGGCACCATCAGTCCCTGTCCCCCAGGAACGACTGGACGCTGCCCGGCAGGCGTTGTCTGAAGCACGCAAGCAGAGCAGCAGCCTGGGCGAGCAGGTGCAGACCATGCGGGGTGAGCTGGCAGACCTGGAGCTGCAGCGGGCGGAGGCCGAGGGCCAGCGGCAGCAGCTGCAGGAGGTGAGGGCCGGCTGGGCCGCCTCTGTCCCCAGGACTGTGAGGCCCTTGGGATGGCATAGGGACCTTCCAGTCAGCTCAGCCTCATCCCCAACCCGGCCAGCCTCCTCTGAGGAAGCTTGGTTCATAAGGGACGTCTCCGTCTGCACTCAGTGACAGTCTCCCAGATGGGCCCCACAGTGGCTGCCACCTGAGTGGGCATGGTGGACCAGCATTGCTATCTGCAAGCTTCAGGTGGCTGCACAGGCCCGAGGTTGAGGGTCCTGCCTGGCGTGTGCTGCAGGTGCTGCGGCAGCGGCAGGAGAGCGAGGCCGCGGCTCTGCATGCGGCCCAGAAGCTGCAGGAGGAGCGGCGGCGGCTGCAGGAGCGCCTGGGCAGCCTGCAGCAAGCCCTGGCCCAGCTGGAAGTGGAGAAGCGGGAGGTGGAGCGCTCAGCCCTGCGGCTGGAGAAGGACCGTGTGGCCCTCAGGAGGACACTGGACAAGGTGGGCTGCTCCAGGGCCTCCCCTCACTGCCCATGGCGTCTGGCCGTGGTGGTCTTGGCTTTACGTCCCATAGTCTGCGGCCTTGTGGCTAGGCTATCCCGCCGAGGTCTGGGACCTGGGGGCCCCCTGAGCCCTCTCCCTGTGCTGGCCCCCCAGGTGGAGCGGGAGAAGCTTCGCAGTCACGAGGACACAGTGCGGCTGAGTGCGGAGAAGGGCCGCTTGGACCGCACACTCTCTGGGGCTGAGCTGGAGCTGGCGGAGGCCCAGAGGCAGATCCAGCAGCTGGAGGTCTGGCCCTGCCCACCCAGCACAACCTTCTCCCCTCCAGCCCCTCCCCCGCCCGAGGTAGCTCCTGTCCCAGGTGGAGCTGATGGTCACCCAGCCCAGGGCTCTCAGTCCCTAGGCTCAGGGAGGTGCCCCAGCCGTCCTGGAGGGAAGTCTGCCCCCAGGAGGAAGGAAATGACACTGAAGGCCTGTTAGCACGGGAGCCTGTGCGTTCAGGTGTGCTGTGGACAGGTTGGGAGATGTGAGTGTCCGTAGAGGTTTTCTTGTGCGTGTAACATGAATCTCATGTACGGATGTAGTGCGTGGCCTACATGTGTTTGTGTGATGTTTTCACGTATGTCGCTGTGTGTAAGAATTTGGAGTTTTTGCTTATACACCTGCATCTGTGTGGATAGGTATTTACGTGCTTGCTTTTGTTGCTGTGCACACGGGCCTGCCTCCATGTTTGACTGTCTGTATGTGCCTGAGTGGGGCCACTGGGTCCTGACCCAGGATTTGCAGGCTGCGGGCCATTGAGGTGGGGGCAAGCCAGGATTTCCCTGTGTCTCCCACCTGCACGGGCTGTGCCTCAGGGCGGAGCTGGACACCTGACAGCACACAGGCTGGGCTAGAACCCTGAGTCGTGGTTCCTCCCCACAGGCCCAGGTGGTGGCCCTGGAGCAGAACCAGGGCCAGGCTCAGCCAGAGGCAGATGGACAGCAACGGCTGGAGCTGCAGCAGGAGCTGGAGCGCCTGCGCAGTGCCCGGGTGCAGACTGAGCGCACGCTGGAGGCCCGGGAGCGGGCCCATCGCCAGCAGGTGCGAGGGCTGGAGGAGCAGGTACACAGGCCTCCCCGGGAAGATGGGCCGGGAGGGACGTACATGGCTCGGGGAGAGGGCTGGTCACAACCTGGCAGTCACCACTGATGCCTTCTGGAACCTGAAAAGAGCTGGGGTGGGTCAGTGCTGGCATGGGCCATGGTTGGCCAGGGGCCAGTGAAGCCACTGGGACTCAGTTCCTCCCTGCCAGGAGCGCTCTAGCTCAGGCCCAGGCAGGTCCCCTCCCTGGGTGGCACAGGTGGCCTTAGCAGCTCCAGCCTCAATTTCCCCTCAACAACTTGGGATCCCAGGAGAAAGGAGGCTTCTTGCTGCGAGCACCAGCAGAAGTCCTGGGCTGGTCCTCACTGGTCAGCTTAGACCACATGGCCCTTGCTGACCATGTCTGATGCAGTGGTGTCTGTAGGCCCAGCTGCTCCGATAGGTCCAGTCTGGTTACGTGTCCAACCTCAAGTCTGAGCTAAAACCAGGCCCACCCAAATGACAATGGGGATAAGGATGGAGCCCCTAAAGATGGCAGAGAGTTAGACACCTGACTCTGCTGCAAGGGACAGAATGCGAGGAAGCACATGTCTGGCTCTGAGGACAGCAGGCAGGCCTCTCCTGCAGCACGCCGCATTGGGGCCCAGTGTGCCTGAGAGCCCCTCTGCCCGTTTTCTCCCTTCCTCTGAAACCAGGCTGGGCCAGGGGCTGCCCTGACCTTCCTGTTCCTCCCCAGGTGTCTACACTGAAGGGGCAGCTGCAGCAGGAGCTGTGGAGGGGCCCAGCATGCTTCTCCCCACCCTGCGGCCCTCCAGAGAAGTGAGCCTTCCCCAAGAGCGGCCTGGGCCAGGAGAGGGGCCTCTGCAGCACAACCCACCCAGGGCCTGGGCGAGGGTGGGGTGGGGTGGGGTGGAGGCAGGTGGCAGTGCTGAGGGCAGGGTGCCCACTCTAGGCCACACGTAGCAGTGGCTTCACCCCAGCCCCCTTCTTAGGGACAGCCACTCTAGATCACAGCATCCTCGGGAGAGCGGCCGAGCCAAAGCCAGGGGTCAGGGAAAGCCCTGGTCTCTGGAGCAGGGGTTCGTAGGGAGGAGGCAGGGTCAGAGCCCCAGCCCTGACTGGCTTCCCAGGGTCTCAGCCTTAGTTCCGAGAGTGTCAGGAATTCCTCAGAGAGCGCAGAGTCCTTGTATTTTTGTACCTTTTTATATAATGTTACTATTGAGAACTATTGTGTTGTTTTGTGACAAGACTCCATTTTCTACGACGGTTTATATAGAAGTGCCCTTTTTCTTTTTTTGTGTATCAGGGATTGAACCCAGGAGCACTCAACCACTGAGCCACATCCCCAACCTATTTCATTTTTTTTAAATTTATTTTTTAGTTGTAGTTGGACACAACACCTTTATTTCACTTGTTTATTTTTATGTGGTGCTGAGGATCGAACCCAGGGTCTCGCACATGCGAGGTGAGCGCTCTACTGCTGAGCCACAGCCCAGCCCCCTATTTCATTTTTATTTTGAGGCAGGGTCTCCCTGAGTTGTTTAGGCCCTCGATAAATTGCTGAGGCTGGCTTTGAACTGGTGATCCTCCTGCCTCAGCCTCCCCAGCCGCTGGGGTAAAGGGATTTGCCTCCAACCCCAGCTGAGGTACCCCTTTTCAGTACTATCCCTGTGTGCCTCCAGTGCCTGGGGGGGCCCTGGGCAGGAGGGATGGGGCACTCTGGGGAGAGCTGGGAGGCACAGGCCTGTGGGGGTAAGGAATCGAGCAGATGAGGAGACTAACCCAGCCCACTTCACAGATGAGGCTGTGGGGGCTCGGGGCCGGCCGGGTCTCTCCAGCCCAACCTCTCTTGTGCCTTTCTGCAGCCCTCCTTGGGACAGGGCCGACTGCTGGACAGTGGCAGGCCTCCTGGGTGGCGTGATGAGCAAGGGCGGACTTGGGAGTGAATGCAGGGTCTCGCCCTGGGGGTGACGCTGGGCAAAGCTCCTTCGTGCCTCAGCCTCAGTGTGTTCGTGTGTCAGACGGGAGCCCGCTGGAGGAGCCTGAGGGGTGCAGCGCTGCTGCTGGGGTGTCTCAAGGACACACTCCCCTCCCCCTCCCCCTCCCCCTCCTCCAGAGCCCAGTAGCCAGATCCTGCTCTGCCTCTGCCTCAGAGCGCTGGGCGGCCACTCAGTGCCTGTGGGCAGTTACCTCTGCAGCTTAGGCTAGTGACTGCGCCTGGCACAGAGGGCTGTTGGGAGGGCTCAGGAGCAGCCTTGGGGCCGAGGTGGGGGATCCGCCGTGCTCGCCCATTTCTGTCCTCGCAATGTCACCGGCCTCCCCTGGGTCTCAGGTCTACCTACCTTGACCTGAAGCTGGTGGGCAAGGAGGCAGGGCTGGGACTGGAAGCAAGGCTACCTGTCACCCAAACGTCCCCTTCTCTCCAGGGGCTAGGAGGCTTCTCTGTGGGGACAGGTGGCGCTGGAGGCAACAGGCTCTCCCCTCTTGCCTGGACTGAAAAAGCAACTCTGGAACTTTTGTAAAAACTTGTTTTAATTTTGTATAAAACGAAGGTGGTCCACGCCTGGGGGCTGCAGGAAATCCAAGCAGACCGCTAGGGCGAGGGGCACAGCCTACCTCTGGGGACTGTCAAGGGGGGACTGTCCTCAGAGGGACTGACAAGGCACATCAGGACCCAGGGCCCACTTAGAGGCCTGGATGCCCCACCCAGGGGGTGGAGGCTGGGCAGCAGGGGCCCCCACTGTGCCCTGGGAGTGGCCACAGGCTGGGGGCAGGGCCTGAGGCAGCACAGCTCGGGATCCCCAGGGCTGCAGCCCTCTAACTTGACAGAATAAAAGGGGAGTTGGGACGGGAAGAAGAGCACCAGGTCAGGCAGGGCCCGAGGCTCCAAGAGCTGAGCAGGGTTCAGGGCTCTGGGCACCAGCTCTACCCTAGCAGCCCCCGCAGCTCCTGGCACACGAGGCTGCCACAGACTGGCACAGGCCACTGCTGGCCATCACACCACATTTGGAGAACTTGTCCCGACATAGGTCAGCTGTTGGGGGGACAGGAAGGAAGTGGGTGAGGGTGGGGGGTGTGATGGGAACTGCTGTCCCCCAGGTCTCTTGGGGGTTCTGAGGATGAAGTGGCAGGGAGGGGCGCTCCTGGTGCCCTTCAAGCGAGCCCAGCACGTGGCCTCCTGAATGGACCCACTGGGGCCAGCAGCTGCTGGAAAATGAAGGGGGTGCAGGGAGGGGAGATGGGCTCTTACCTCGGAGGAGCTCCTCATGGGCACACACTGTGCGGACACAGATCTCCTTGTTGACCACGTACACACGGCGGAGGCTGAGGGGACAGGTCGGGAGAGGTGTCAGCCCCACTTTTACCTGTCCCCACTGGGCCCAGGCCCACCCTCAGAGTTGAGCTCCTTTTTAGGATTCATGGTCCCCAAACTCCCACCTTGGCTACCCAGAGCCATTCCCTGCCCCTGCTGCTGCCTCCACGTGCCCTCCTCACTGTCCCGGGGTGTGCCCACCGGTGCCCACCTGTAAAAGCAGACCTCGTTGAGACACTGTTTGCAGGGCTTATGGATGGAGTAGAGGCGGGTGCACGGGTACTGTTCCTCACGGCAGTCTGGGGGACAGACGGGACCACGCTTGAGGCTCAGCTGGAGGGTAGCCCCAACCTTGCCTACCTGACAAGACAAGCGCTCTCAAGTCTCTAGGTGCCCCACGCCCCCAGGCCCAGCCAGATACCCACGCATGCCCAGTGCTCATGGCTTTGCTGGACCTTCCGGGCTGCTCGATTTCATGTAACATCCTAATAATTTCAGAAGCTCATACTCCAACACAAGTTCAAACACATCTTCACACCCACCCTGTGGCCTCACAAGTCCACACCCACTCAAAAGCAGACACGCAAGTGCTCGGAGGAACCTGCACTCAGCAACTCAAATGAGGCTACCGAGTCTCATGCCAACTCTCAGGCTCTTGGCTGGACACTGCTCAGCCAGCCTGGGACCTTCTCTGCCTGGCCACAGGCACACCCGGTCTCTCTTCTGGCAGGAAGCCCCCTCCTGCACACCCCCTGCCCCTCCCAGTGTCTGAGGAGAGGGCCTCTGGCCAGGCCCATGGCAGGTGGTGGGAGTCTCCCAGAGCTGGGGGTGGGCACTGGAGATAGACTGGAGAGTGGGGGGCTGCCGGCTTGCCCCACCCCCCCACATTAGTACCCGCAGCCCACAGGGCCCCATGCCTCCATTTCTCCAGCTTCTAGAAAGCGCTTACCAAGAGGCCCTGGCTCCGTGGGCTCCGTCTCCACATTTCCAGGTTCTGGTGCAGAAAGAGGCAGGCAGGAGTCACTGGGTGGGGTCTATTCAGAGCAGGGGGTCACCTCTCAGCCCCTCAGCCCGGGGCACAGACCTACTCCCAGGGTTGACAGGGAGCTCAAGTGGGAGGAGCTTGTGGCCTACCTGGGGTGGGGGCTGGGATGACCTCCTGTTGGACTTGCTGCTGGGACTGGAACTGCTCCTCAGGGGACCGAGAACTCACCTCTGCATTGGGATGATCAGGGTGTCTGCTTCCCCTTCCCTTCCTGGGTCCCCAAGGGCTCCCCCACCCCAGCTGCCTGCCCCAGCCCTATACCTTGGTAATCGTAGTAGTCTGGCTGGTCTGAAAGCGAAAAGGAAGGTGCAATTGGTGCAGGTCAGGCTGGTCCCCTGCCCCCAGGAGGTTGCCAAGGAGCCACAAGCCAGACCAAAGGATTCAAGTGGTCCTACCCCACCGACCCCCAGCTGAGCCATGCATTTCTGGGGCTTGGTTTTGACATGGCAGGGCTGGGGGACACCTCGGGGAGGCACAGCCCTTACCGATCTGGTCATTGTAGTGGGCGTACTGGACATGGTCCGGAAATGGGGGCAGAGGGTCCAGGTCATATTGGCCCTGAGCCAGCAGGCCTGCTGAGGAAGCACAGCATATGGGTGCCCGCAAAGGACGACAAGGGGCCCAGGACATTTCTGGGAAGGCAGATGGAGGTCACAGGGCACTCCTGGACTCAAGGCTTCAAACCCCTTCCTCTCCAGCACAGGCCCACAGCTCCTTGGTCACCCCCTGACCTCACCCGGCCCCTCCCCTCACTGCCTCCTGCTGCCTCAGGTCCTTTGCCTCCCTCAGGACTCACCTGAACTGTCAGCTCTGCTGAGAGGCACCCCCGGCCCCCCACCCTCCTGCTTATTCCACCACAGCACTGAACACACCCTGGAGTTCATCCCATCTACGTAGCTACAGCCGGCCTCTCTTCCCTAGCTTAGCAGCCTGATAAGGGCAGGGATCTGTCTGCCAAGTCCATTGCTGTGTCCCCGGGGCCTAACCCAGAGCCTGCACATAGTAAGAAATGAACATGTTTATTGAGTGAATGAATGACTGTTAAGACCTTGCAAGGCCTTTGCAGTCCCCATCTAACCAATAGGTCACCGCTATATAGGGCGGAAGGGCCCCCAAATGCATCTAGAACCCAGGTTTCCGGACCCCCTGCCTCTGCATGCCCCACTCCTGCACACTGGCTCCAATAGTGATAAGAAGACAAGCCTGGATCCTGGGGCCTCGAGTGAGCCCATCCTCCAGAACCCTGCCTGCCTGATGCTGTGGAAGGTTGGGGGACAGAATCCTGGCCTCAAGGCATGACAAACACTCCCTGTGAGCTCCCTTGACAACTCCCACCCCCAGTAAGGATCACCATGTTCAGGGTCAACCTGAGAAACTTAGACTTGGTTGTAAAGTAAAAAATAAAAAGGGCTGGGATGTGAGTCGGTGGTAGAGCACCCCGGGTTGAATCCCCAGTGCCAAAAAACCAAGATCAACAAGAAACCAACCAAACCCCCCACTGCACTCCACCAGGCAGCCACCGCTACTCCAGTGGTCACTCACCAGGCAGGCACAGCAGGAAGAGGTAGGCAGCTCTCATGGCCACGGAGTAAGGAGGTTGGGGTGGTTTCAGAGGACAGCTAGGGGGACAGGAGCAGAAAGCTGCACCCAAGCTTGATAACCCAGGGCCACAGAGCCACCTCCGTCCCAGAATTCAGCCTGGAGAAGGCACTTTAACAGAAGCCAGGCACTGGAGGACAGGGCTGGGGTGGGGCTGCTTTGGAGGAGCCTGTGTGGCAGGGCAGGAGGGGCTTCCGACCTGGCTCCAGGGCTGATCCTGACAAATGAACAGACCCCACCTTGCCCTGTGCACTAAAGGGACATTTCTACAGCCGCCCCCCACCCCCACCCCACACAGCCTGGCTGTTCTCTCCCTGGCTGCACCCCCCCAGGTCCAGCCCAGGCGCATCCAAGGGGCACCAGCCCTGCAGCCAGCCCCACAGCCCCCACTAAGCATTTTGCCAGGTCTGCCACCTGTTCCCAATTAGCCCCTGGGCCCTGCGTATGCTGCTCAGCAGGAAACCACTTGCATGTGGGCCTGAGGGGCCCCAGAGCAGCCAGGGCTGGGCAGGGCTGGGCAGGGCTCCCAGCCCCCAGAACTCTCCTGCCAGGATTCAGGCCCCCCCAGACCTGGCTGTCTTCACCCCAGACTCACGAGACTGAGGTTTATTTGTCTGCAGCAGGAAGCACTTAGGAGGAGCCTGAGGAGGCTCTGTGGGCCCTGGCTTTGTGGCACTAGGGGTGGTGATGTCACCCAGCCCAGGGGTCCTGCATCCCCTGATGAGTATGACAAGTGTGTGATGGGGGGCGGTGGGGGGAGAGCATTGGCCCAGGGCTCTCACTGGGTTCGTGCCATTTAGGAACGCCTGGAGTCCAGCCTCCAGTCTTGGTTACAAAGAGGGCTTGGTGGAGCCTCCAGGTCCCCCTGTCCTGCTCCAGCTCAGTGGAGGGTGACCTCAAGACTGTCAGCCTACTGCAGGGAGATCTGTGAAGACACAGTCTCCTCCATCCAGCAGGGCCCCCTCCCGGCCCAGCACAGGAAGTTCTTCAGACAGCTAACTGGAAACCCAAACTTAGCTGGATATCCCCCCCTCCCCCTGGAAAAGGCAGAGAAGGGGTTAGAAACAGGGTCTCTGGGCCCAATTTCTCCCAAACTGAGGCTTCTCGGACCCCATTCCCATCCCAAGCATTCAATGTGGGGTGGAATGGGGGCCAGAAGCAGGACTCACACATCCCAGTTCTAGAAACCCTTGGCTTCCTCATCGTAGGGGGACCACCATCCCCCACCCATGGTGGTGGCAGCCAGGCCAGCTGGAGCTGTCACGTCTCAGGAGGAGTTCCTGAGTAGGGGGCATGAGGAGGCCTCAAGAGGCTGGGGGAGGCCCCTGCATGGAGTCCAGCACGACGGCGCCAGGCCCAGGCTTATCGAGGGCGAGGGCGGGAAGCCGGCGGGCTAGGGAAGGGCCGTCGAAGGGGAGTAGCGGATCCCTCGCAGGGGACCACGTCTCCAAGCGTCCGGACCATGGTCTTGGGGGCTGGGGGCGCAGAACTGCCCCCCACCGGCTGCCGCCGCCTCCCCCCGCCCGCGCCGTGCAGGCTGCAGGGACCAGCGGCCCCCGGGCTGGCCGCGGCCCAGGGAGGGCCCTGCCAGCTGCGGAGGCCGGGCCGGGCTGGGGTCCCGCGGAAACCGGACGCCGCCGCACAGCTGGGAACAATCAGCCGCGGGCGCCGCGCTCCCCGCTGTCTCTGCTCTTTGTCTCCGCGGCTCTGTCTCGGCCGCTCCCGCGACCCCCGCCCGCCACGTTCGGCCCTCCCGGGAACCAGACCGGGGGTCCCGACGCCCCCACTCCTCCTCCCCCGAGCTCGGGCCCCCGGCCCTCCCCAGGTCGCGTCCTCACCCGCGGCGACCCCAAACTTTCAGGTGCCCCGAGACCCGCCCAGGAGGCCCGGGGCTCAAGGTCCCGGGCGGCCGCCCCCGGCTCGCGGCCCCGCAGCCCGCACCCCGGCCCGCCCGCGCCCGCGCCCGCCGCGGTCCCCGCGCGCCCGCCCGCGCGCGCCTACCTGTCCCGGCCACCGCGCCCGCCGCGCTCCGAGTGCGCCCGCCCGCGCCCCGCGCCCCGCGCCCGCCCCGACGGCCGGCGCCCGCCTCCAGCCCCGGAGCCGCTGGGTCCTAACGCGAGCGGTGCCGCCCGCCGCCACGCAGCGCCCTTGGGGCTCCGGCCCCCTTCTCGGGGAGGCCCCGGGGGCGGAGGCGCCCGTGAGCGGCTCACGTCGGGCCAACGCCGCAAGCCGCGCAGAGCGCCTGTGCCCCGTCGTCACGGCTCCTCGCCGGGCGCTGGGCCCCGCGGGTGTCACCCCATTTCTCAGGAGGAAACCAAGCCTCCGCGAGGAGTGACCGAAGGCCAGGCTGCTGGAGCGCAGCCGGGTTCCCGCTGGCTCCCAGGACGCCCTCGGGCCTGGCATCCCTCCCCGCTCCCTGCTCCCCAGCGGCCGCCCAGTCTCCCTGGCCGCCTCCTGCGCAGCAGCCGGTCTCCAGGCCCCGGGGCAGGCTCTCGTAAGTGGCGTGTCCTCAGCCCTGACCAGGTTCTGGTGAACCACTGGCTATTGGGCCAGGCCCCGGGAATGTCCCCAAAGCACCTCAGATCCAACAAACACCCAAACCTCTCCCAGACATGTCCCTGGAAGGCATTCCTAGTCCCTAGGGGATCCCACCCGTCTTCCCATTAACCAGACTTCTTCCTCTGCCCTCGGCCTGGCTTCCAATCCAGTGCCCAGCCAATTGCCCCTCTTACCTATCCTTGGCAGCCCTGTCCACTGTCTCTCACTGGCACCTCTTGCCTGGATAGCCAATCTCATCTGTGTCTTCCTCCCACCTTGGCCGCGGCCCCCTTGTACTTTCTCCAGCTTCCCATGGTACCCAAGATGGAGGCTAAACTCCCCTGGGGCCTCCCAGGACTCTGCCCTTCATTATGGTCTGGCTTTGCCTCCTGTGGCTAGCCCCTCCCGCTCCTGCCCCTGGGCCTTTGCTCAGGCTGTTTGTTCCCCACTGCTTCTCCACCAGGTCCAGCCTCTCCCCTCCCCCAGAGGAGCCTCCCCTTTCTCCTCAGGACAGGCTCTCCAACTTCACTGCTGTGCTGCTTACCCATGTCTGGTTGCCCTGTGCCTGGTCCCATGGAGGCACAGATGAGCTCTGTCCCTGCTCGTCTTCAGGCTTTGCTCACCAGGCACAGGGCCAGGCTGGGAGCAGCAGGTCAGTTCCCACTGAAGAGTGAGCCTGTACCCAGCCTCCCAGGAGAGAGGGCTGGGTAGTGGGGGTGGGGGTCATAGGTCCCCTGCCTCTGTCCCCGAGAGCCTAGGCCTGAGGCAGGGGTGACAGTTGGGGTGTAGGCTGGGAGGCGAGCGGAAACACCCTGATGGGGGCCCATCTTACCCACTTGTGCCCTGCTCCCACCTCCTTCCCCTCAGTTCCTGTTGGGCAGGGATATCTGTACCTGCCCCCACCTGAGGGAGGTCCCCAGCCCTCCCCAGCTTCCCTTGGCCTTCCCTACCTCCACCCCAATCCCTCCAAGGTAGGAGAGGGGGAAACCGGGGCCCCCTAGGTTGGGACTGTTTTATTTGCTCCCCGCTTTAGCCTTGGGCCTGGCCCCTGCGGGGTAGCTGCTGAGGGAAGGGGAGGAATTTGACCAGGTCTCTCCAAGTCTGCCCACGGCTCCTTAAGCACCATCTTCTAGCTGGGTGCAGTGACGCACACCTGTAATCCCAGCAACTCGAGACGCTGAGGCAGGAGGGTCTCAAGTTCAAAGCCAACCTCAACCACTTAGGCCCTCATCAATTTAGCAAGACCCTCCAAGGGCAGGGGCCGTGGCTCAGTGATTAAATACCCCTGGGTTCAATGCCTGTTATCAAAAAACAAAGGGCTGGGGGCTGTGGCTCAGTGGGAGAGCGTTGCTTAGCGTGTGTGAGGCACTGGGTTCCATTCTCAGCACCACATATAAATAAACAAAATAAAGGAAAAAATAAACAAATTAAATAAAGGCGTTCTGTCCATACACCACTACAAAAAAAAAGTCTTTCGCCCTGAACTGTGGCTGGCTGGGGACTCAGCTCAGAGTGCGGAAGGCCTGGCATAGGTTACCTCTCACACCCACCCTCCTTCTGGACTCAACATCTACTGAGCTCCTACCAGGGCAGGCCTGGGACTGCACCAGGGGTTCCAGTAATGGGCTTGGCAGGGGCCTCTGGAAGGCAGGAAGCGGCCTTCTTTCCTGTTCTCTGCTGCCCAGGAGCCAGGCAGAGCTGCATCTCCAAAGCAGAGGGGCTTGGCCAACGGCCCGCTGGTGGGATGAGGTCGACACACCCACCCTTCCCGGGGGGGACAGTGCGTGTTTCTGGCTGGGGGACTGGGCTTGAAGCCTGGTTTTATCTGAGGGAGGGACTGGACCAGACACCACCAGGGAGGTGGGGGTGGCAGGTGGGGGAGGGGGAGGGATGGCAGCTGCCCTTTCTCCTCTTCCCCCAAAGGGGGTCATGGGAGCCAAGAGCTTGGCTGGAGCCCAGGGCTTTGGCCCCACTCCTGACCTCCAAGCCGCGGGTCCCTCATCTGCAAAGTGGGGACAGTACCTGCAGTGCAGGATTAGAGGGCAATGTGTGTAAATGCTCAACAGTGTACCAGCCCCGCTCCACACAGAGGATGACAGGAGGCCCAGCGGGGACTGTCCACTGTGATCTGGGCAGCAGGAAGGTCCACAGTGCTCAAGTAGAGCCAGGCATGGCCGAGCCAGGAAAATATCATGACTTTATTGGCTAAACTGACAGCAGGTCCAGATGGAGTTGGTGGCTGCACGGTCAGAAGTGGGGGGACAACAGTCAGCACTTCCGGGGAGGGGCAGGAGGTGGGCCAGGCTGTCTGGGACAGGAGTGTGGAAACGGCCAGCCTCAGGGCTGTGGGAGGCGATGGCGGTGGCATCTCTAGAGACGGGTCCAGTCGGTGGCTCAGAGGCAGGGAAGTCCAGTGTCCAGTGTCCAGTGTCCAGCGCGCCCGCAGCCTGCACTACCTCACGGCGCCAGCGGCCCGTGGCGGCCAGGGCTGCTCAGCCAGCTCCCGCTCCAGCTGCTTGAAGCGCTTCCTGGAGGCCCGTTTGGGTCGGAGCCGCCGCAGACAGGGTGGGAGGCACTGGTCTAGCACGCTCTGCGGGGGGCAGGGTGTGAAGGGGCTGCCAGCCGAGCCCCCCATCCCCCTCCCGGGCCCAGGCCGCCCACCTCCAGCATGAAGGCTCCCACGAGGTTGCAGGCGACCAGACCCAACAGCAGCAGCTTGAAGCAGGTGTCCTCGATGTTCCTCAGTCCTAGTGGCCCCTGCAGGAGGCCGGGGACCAGGATGAGGCCCACCAGGACAGAGCCCAAGAACGCCAGGGCCACCAGGAAGGGCACTGGGGGTGGGGGAGTCCGTCAGCGAGGGAGCCATGCCCTGGAACACTCGCACACCCACGCACACCCACGCACACCCACGCTCCACTCACAGGCCCCCCATCTGCCTTCCCGGCCGGCCCCCCACCCCACCCCGCAGCAGCACCGTTGGTGTAGAGCGGCCGGCGGAAGGGCGCCCCCTTGGACACGGCCGCGGCCAGGATGAGGTACTGGAAGCCGGACAGGGAGAAGACCACGGTGTTCTCATAGTTGGGCAGGTTGTCGGGCGCGGGCAACGTCCTGTTCAGAGGCACGAACCTGGGAGTCGGGGTCCGGGTCAGTGTGCAGTGGAGCGGGCAGGGGCCAGATGGGGGAAGCCCCTCCGCCCCCCACTCACCAAGGCTGGGCCACGGCCAGGAAGTAGCCCCCCAGCTGCACACCAGCCACCAGGGCCACCTGCAGCAGCAGGCTGCTCAGCACGGGCACGCTGAGCAGCGCCCCTGGCGGCCGCACCCGGCCCAGCGTCAGCGCCGGCCCCGTGCGGCTCATGAGCACCGCGATGGTGGTGGTGATGACCAGGTCGATGGCCAGGAACTGCACGTCACCCAGGTTGGTGTTGATCTGTGGCAGGTGAGGGAGACAGAGGGGCCACTGAGACCTGGCCCAGCCCAGCCCCAGAGCCGCCCCCAGCGACAGAGTGACAGCAAAGGCACCCTGCCCTCCCATCTGAGGGGCCAGGACTCGGGGAGACACAGCCCCTACTGTAGGATGAGCCCCCAATCCAATGTGGGGAGCACTGTCCGGCCCTCAGTCTGCCTAAACCTGAGGGTGGGGGACCCCCAGCCTGACAGGGGAGCTTGGGCTCTGCCTTGTCGCCCCCAGCTGTAAGGTGGACGTGGGGACAGACACAGGTACGAGATCTGCACTACCCCACACACCCTCACTCCTCAGGGACACGGGACATGCTCAGCTCCGGGCGAGTGGCCCCTGCTCAAAAGGGTGTGGCACAGCTGCTATCTGGGGCAGTCCGGACCCCTGCCCCGTCTGCAGGTTGTCCCCTGCCTGGGCTCTGCCTCCGTCTCCCCTGCAGACTGGGAGCTCCCAGAATTAGGGGCAAGTTGTTAGCACATGAGGACCTACTGTGCGCCAGGCCCCGTGCCCAGTGCTTCCACCTTGTGTCAGTCCCACTGCCTGATTTGGTGAGAGTGGCAGAGCCAAGGCTCGAGGCCACATAGAATCTGCCAGGCTCCCAGCGGCACCACTGTGGACCTGCTGTGGACCTGGCGCTGCTGGTGCTCACTGTGTAGAGGATCAGGACCGAGATGAACTGCGTCAGGCTGTACAGGGCCATGTACTTGAAGACGCTGAACGAAGTGTCCAGGGAACAGCGGCCTTCCCTAGGTAGCAGGGGCCGGGCATGAGGGGCCAGGCTGGCTCCAAGGGTGTGCCCCACCCTCGCCACCAGCCCCGGGGCTCACCTGATGACCATGGGCACACACTCGATACTGGCCACACTCGAGGTGAAGGGCGACACTACCGAGGCCTCGGCCTGGGACAGTGAGATGCCCACGTCGGCTGCCTTCAGCGCCCCGCAGTCATTGGCGCCGTCTCCGCACATGCCCACGCGGTACCTGACAGAGAGGGTGTGCAGGTGTGGGCACCTCTTTCTCTGCCGAGGACTGAGCAGTGCCATGGTGGCTTCTGACACAACAGACCCAGGAGGGCTGCGGGTGCTTCGAGGGTGGCACTCTCTAGGGCCTGAGGGGTGCGGGGACTGTGGGCTGTGCCCAGCCCGCCCTGGCACTCACTGAAGCCTCTGCAGCTCGCACACCAGCTCCGTCTTCTGCTCGGGGGCCATGCGGGCAAAGACGGTGCCCTGCACCAGGACCTGGGCACAGCGAGGGGCAGGGCTGAGGCAACAGCCAGCCAGGCGGGGTGGTGAGTGTGGGGGCCGGGGACTCGGGGAAGCCCTTACCTTGGGCAGCAGCTCCGGGAAGTGCTTCCTGAGGACGCCAAAGGTGGACCCGCCGAGGGCCAGGTGGCTGCGCCGGGGCTCTGGTTCCACGGTGCAGCTCGTAGCCTGGACAGGATCCTGGGGGCCCAGGGAGCCCAGCTCAGCCCCCCTGCCCACCCTGGAGAGCTGGGAGAGGGTCAGGGGACGCAGGGCTGGGTCACTGGTGAGGTGGTGGACTCGGAACCAGGGGCCAGTCTCACCGTAGCCCCGTTCATGGCTGCCGAGGACTCCACGGGCAGGAACTGGAGGGAGGCCGGCTGTCCCCGCTCGGGGTGGGTGGCGTGGATGATGACCAGGTGCTCCTGGGGGCCCACCATGCCACAGCTCCGGGCCACAGTGACTGCCGTCTGCAGGTTATCCCCTGGCAGGAGCAGGGAAGGTCAAAGTCTAATGCTGTCCAGGGCCATCCTCACCCTGACCCTCATATGTCAGCAGGTCAGACGCCTCTGGACCTGCCTCCTCCCTAGTAGAGCTGGGCACTGGGGGGGCCCTGGGGAGACAGCACTGGGCTCGGGTTCCTCAGACACTGGGTGCTTCCTGGCTCGTGGAACAGCGTGCCTGAGAGTGTGTGTGAGTGTGTGTGTGAGTGTGTGTATGTGTGTGTGTGTATGTGTGTGTGTGCACGTGCGTGGTGACAGCTGGGGTTCCAGGGACATGGCTGATGAGCTGCCGCTGCCTTCCTCTGCTCAGACTCTCTTCTGCTCCCCGAGAGCATCACAGCCTTTGGGGCAACACCATCACCCCCACTTCTCAGAGGCGGAAACTGGGATTCAGAGGTCACCGGGCGGGTGAGTGGCTGGGCTGCAACCCGCACGGACTCCACATCTAGGCTCACAGGAGGTCACTCCACTGAGCCTCGGTTTCCTCATCTGCGAAGTGGGGGTGGCAGTGACATTTGGGCCTGATACGTGGAGATCCACAGAAGGTTTGAAAATGGCCTGGCCCCCGAAAGATGCCCCAGGAGGGGGCACGGGGCACCTCTTCCCTCTGCCAAGGACTGAGCCGATTCCACCCTCCCAAGCCAAGCCCTGCGGCCAACGGTACCTGTCACCATGACGGTGCGGATCTGCGTCCTCCGCAGAGCCTGGATAACCGGTGTCGTCTGTGGCTTCAGCAGGTTCCTCATGACCAGCAGCCCCAAGAGACTCAACTCCTGCTCCACAGTGTCCCTGGAGGTTGGGAGGACAGGTCAGAGGTTACTTGGTGGCCCACTCCCCTTTCCCGGGCACTGGGCAGAGTCATCTTCCCTGGCTTGGGTTGCCCACCGCACAGGTCACCTCGTCAGCTGCTGGGCGGCCTCCAGGCGGGGTGCGATGGGCAGTGGCTTGCTGGCCAGGGCCACAACGCGGTAGCCAGCAGCTGTGTAGCTCTGCAGCATCTGGGTGAAGTCAGAGGGCACTGCAGGGAGAGGGGTGTCACTGGGACAGAGCGGGGGACAGGCAGAGGCTGGAAACCCGGCTCACTCTGTGCCAGTGCCCAACCCGTCCCCTTTACCCGTCTCAGGGCTGCAGAGGCCTGCCACTAGCTCTGGGGAGCCTTTGACATAGGCCTCGGGCTGAGTGGCCCCAGGCCAGGCCACCACCACGTCCATGCGCTGCAGAGCAGAGGAGAAGGGGAAGCGGCAGAGGATGCTCACTGGCACCGGAGGCTCCTCCTGTAGGCGGGGGGACAGCTGAGGTCCTGGCTCTGGAGCCCTCCCCAGGCCCCACCACACAGGCACCCCCCCCCCCAGCTCACCGGTCCCTGCAGCTGGGAATCCCGAGGTGGGGGTCTCATCACTGCCAAGACCTGAGTCCCAAGTGCCGAGTCTGCTGTTGGCCCCTCCTCCAGAACCTGGGAGGCAAGCAGAGAAGGCTGGAATCCAGGCTGCCCCGGGAGACCCGGAGTGAGCGTGAGGTGGGTCGTCAGGCCCAACTTCCCCAAGGCGTGCCTCCTCACCCAGCCGGTAGACTCCACCATCTTGAGGTCCATGGGGTCACCCACTGGGGTGCCCTGGACTTGGCTGAGGGCGTGGCAGGTGGCCAGTGCCCGGAGCAGGGGCCCCACGGGCAGGCGGTGGGGCTCGGGCACCAGCGGCAGGAAGGCCCGCTCCTTCAGGGGCACCACCCCCATCACGTCCAGGCCGTCTTCAGTGAGGGTGCCTGTCTGCGGGGACAGTGGCGAGTCCTGGGATGAGCTGTGCCCTGCTGGTGGCACCCCACCCCAGCCTGGCACTGCCAGGGGGACCCGAGAGCCAGAGCTGGAGCCAGAGGAGCCCCCCTCTCCCTGGTCTCGCCTGTGTGGCTCCTGCTGGGCCACCGGCCCCACTGCGTTTCCTCCCAGAAGCCGTCCTCCCTGTCTCCAGGTGGACCTGGCTTTGGGTGCCCGCATGTGGCTTCCCTGCTTCCCCAGCGTCTGCTCCCAAGTCCCGGGGGAGCGGCTGGCTCTGGGTAGCACGCCAGTCTGCCCATTGTTGGGTGACTGACCATGGGGCGAGTGCCGCCCTCGCCATGCGGGGCTCCACCTGGCCAGCCACACACCTGCTCCTGCACCAGCCTGGGGCCTGTGTGAACCTGACCATGCCCCTCCTGCAGCTTTTGGCCCCTGACACCCTCGGGATAATGTCCAGCCTGCGGCTCTGCTGCTCAGGGTGCTGCCCACCTGGTCTCACCCACTGCTCACTGTCCCCTGCTGCTGGGAGGACCCTTCCTCCACCGCCTTCCCTAGAGCTGGCCCCCGTGCCCCCCATCAAGTGCCCACACGCTCCCTCCTTAAGCTCTCGGAGGGTCCTGCTTTGCTTATTCTGGTGGGGACACACAAGTATCTGTCTGTGAGGACGTCTGTGCTGGTCACTGCTGGACCCAGGCACACACAGTAGGTCCTCAATGGATCTTGAACAAGTGAACAGATGACCCTGGGCATTTCATCTACCAGACCGTGAGCGGGTGAGGTGGGAGCGGGTGGCCTGGGGCCTCTGAGCACGTCCACCCCAGGGGGACCCGGCATGAGCCAGGCCTTCCCGAGGCTGCTGGGCCCAGGTGAGGAGGCCTGGCGGAAGCTCTGTGGGGCCCGTGGCTGTCCCCACACCCTCAGCCCCACCTGCAGCCCACCTTGTCGAAGCACACCAGCTGCAGCTTGCCCCCCAGGTTGATGCGCAGCGGGTGGATGCAGAAGATGCCCTGTGCCCGCAGCCGGCTCTGGGCATAGAGTGTGCACACGGTCATGGCGGCTGGCAGGGCGGGTGGCACTACCACCGTCACCAGGTCCAGGGCTCGGATCACAATCTCGCTCACAGGCACCTGCAGGAAGCTCTGTGAGCGCTGAGGGCAGGCGTGGTCAGACCCGGCTGCCGCCGCCGCCCGGCCCAGGGCTTACCCGGTTGCGGTGGAGGACGAAGATGCTGTAGGCGGTGCCGAGCAGAGCTGCGGGGAGAGGGTCAGGTTTGGGGTGCTGGGGATGGAATCCAGGTGCCCTACCCTAGCCACATCCCCAGCCCTTTAGCCCTTTTTTGTGGGGGAGGTACCAGGGATTGAACTCAGGGGCACATGACCATCCCATGAGCCCCATCCCCAGCCCTATTTGTGTTTTATTTAGAGACAGGGTCTCACTGAGTTGCTTAGCGCCTCGCTAAGTTGCTGAGGCTGGCTGTGAACTCATGATCCTCCTGCCTCAGCCTCCCAACTGACTGGATTACAGGCATGCGCCACCGCACTCTGTAGTAAGTGGGACTTGGACCCAGGCTGGGGCCACCAGCAGAGTGGGATGCAGGGGCACACTCACCCAGGACAGAGAGGGCAGTCACAAACTTCATGCTGTGCTTATAGAACTTGAACTTGATGGGCCGCGGGTGCAAGATGGAGCTCACCAGGCCCCCTTTAGCCGTGCAGAACCCTGGGGAAGAGGCGGGGAAGCCATGGCTGGAGAACCGTGGGCTGGGGCAGGTCTCCCGACCCCCGACCCACCTGTGTCACCTTGGGGTGCTGAGATGTGATGCTCATGGGCCCAGCCTGGCCTCCCATGGGTTGCTTTTTCGGGGAATTTAAGATTGAACCCAGGGATGCTCTAACACTGAGCCACACCCCCAGCCCTTCATATTTTTTTATTTTGAGGCAGGGTCTCACTAAGTTCCCCAGGTTGGCCTTGAACTTGGATCCTCCTGCCCAGCCTTAGAGTCGCTGGGAGTGGGGGGGCACTCTGGACTCTTTCCTGCTTGCCATGTGCCTCCCCCTCCAGCTCTTATAATCTCCCTGCTGGCTCCTGGGGACACTGCAGCACTTGGTCACAGTCTGGCCCAACTTCTGCTAAGACGGGGACTCCGAGGGCCCAGTGAGGTGGGACTTGCCCGACACAGCGGAGCAGGGGCAGAGCTGGGTGGGGGCGGGGCTCTGGGCCCTGCTCTGCCTGTGTCTTGGTGCTGAGCCAGCATTCTCCCCCACCTCCTGATACGTACCTGTCCGGGTCACCACCGCCAGGACCTGGGGTCCCACGTAGGCCCGGGCCTGCAAGACGAGGGTCCCACAGAAGAGTGTGTGCCGCCGATGCACCTCCGGGCAGTAGGGCCTGGGTCCCTCGGGCAGGGCTGTTTTCAGCACTGGCACGCTCTCCCCTGGGAAGGACGTCGTGTGAGGCGCAGAGAGGGGCCTTAGGGCCATCCCCTCCTGCCCAAAAACCAGGCACCATGCCCGGGATCGTTCCACCAGCCCTGGGTCTCAGGTAACTGTAACCAGGTGTGAAATCACCGTCCCATTTATAGAGGAGGACGCTGAGGCTGACGGGAAGACGCAGAGCTGCCCGGTCCCACTCTGGGGAGTGCTGGGCAGGGGTGGGGTGCCGAGGGGTGGGCGCGCCTCTCTCCTTCTGTTGGAACTTTTAAAATATTTATTTTTCAGTTGCAGTTGGACACCATACCTTTATTTTATTTGTTTATATGTGGTGCTGAGGGTCGAACCCAGGGCCTGGCGCTTGCTAGGCGAGCGCTCACGGCCGAGCTGCAGCCCCAGCTGGAACTCTTCATCACAAGCACGTCTTAGTCTTGTAATTCCAGTCAGAAAGGTCATTCACACAGGGCCCTGGGAGGCTGCCTGGTACAGCAGCAATCCCTCACGGAACGCCTGTGGACACCTGCTCTGTGCACATTTCTGGGAGGGCCCTGGGGACAACCCAAGCTCTGGCTCTGTCCCCTAAGAGGCAGGTGGATGAGACAGGTGTGGACAGTCATGAAGGCCAAACAGAGAGCGCGACCACATCACACCAATCATCAGCATGACACACCACTCCAGCCAGGACCACTGCTTAGAAAACATCACCACACCGAGGTTTTTAGCCAGCTCTATCCAGAGCCACCCAAGATCCTGCGCACTGCGGAGGAACAGCCCGGGCTCACGGAGAGAAACGACAAGGACACTCATGGGGACACCATCTCCATGGCTGCAAACCCATGATCCAACACTCGTCGCCGTGGCCCAGGTGAGCTGGTCAGGATCCGCCCACACTGCGGCCTCCAGGGGGCCAAGTGTGTGTGTGCACGAGTGCCCAGGACGTGTGTCACCCGGGAGCACAGAGCACAGAGCGTGATCTCACACTACAACCAAAGGAGGTGAGCGTATCCCTGCACTCAGGTTACGTCAATGCAGAGACAGTTCTGGAAGGACCCCTGGAAGCCTTCACTGTGGCCACTCTGGGAGGGGTGTGAACAGGACCCCCACCCCTGTCTGGGCGCCATGTCCTCCGAGGTGCCTCGGGGTCCTCAAGCCCTGAATGTGGGCGTTTCTTCACACACACTGGGAGCCCCTCCTGTCCAGGGGCGACGACTCCCCTTTCACAGGAGAAGAAACAGAAGGTCAAGCCACCAGCTCAGTGGCGTGGGGTCAGCCAGGGCTGAAGCCAGGATCGTTACCCGAAAGGAGGAAAAGCCACTGCAACGGGAAGGAGGACGAGGCTGCGGGCAGCGGGGCTCACCTGTCAGGGAGCTCTCGTTGACCACGCACTCGCCGGCGACCAGGGCGGCGTCACAGGGCACCAGCCCGCCCTCGGGGGGCAGCATCAGGCAGTCTCCGGGCACCAGCTGGCTGGAGTCCACCCACTCCTCCTCTGCAGGCAGGCAGAGGCTCAGCAGGGCTGCTGCCCCGGCCACCACCAGCCTCCCGCCGGGCCCTGGCCCCTTACCTCCTCCAGGCCGACACACGCGCACCCGCACGGACAGCTTGACCATGTCCCTCAGGGTCTGGCTTTGCTGTAGGCATAGGGACAAGAGGAGGTGGGTGGGTGGCGGCCCTGCGGGGACCACCCGCACCCCTGCCTGCCTCACGCCGCTCACCTTCCTGGTCTTATACAGGGACAGGCAGATGGACACAGTGGACACGAGGAAGATGCACAGCGCGTACCAGTAGTAGTGGTCAGCCAGCCACAGCGCGATGCTGAAGGCCTGGAACCCGTAGTAGGGGTTCAGCGCCTGGCGGGAGGCACAGGAGGCAGCGTGAGGGCCTGGGACAGGGCAGCTGGGCCACAGGACAAAGCCAGGCCTTCTGGAGGCACAGGCGGGAGGGGTGAAGGCTGCAGTTTCTATCAGCCTGACCGCAGGCCGCCCTCTTTCATGGTGTCTGCCCAAGGGTCAGAGGGCTTTACTCTAGATGTGTCCAGGTCCCTGACCTCCCTTGTCTCTGAGTAACCCTGGCTACGTCCCGTCCCTGCTCTGAGCTCGGGTTCCTCCTGTGAACACAGAGCAGCAGTCTGGTCTCACTCACATGCTGCGACCACACACAGGAGGGCACCAGGCTCCAGGGGAAGCTACTTGACCTTGGGGACCTGCCTCCCGTCCTCCCTGTGGGCTGCCTCCCATGGCTGCCCCAAGCCTTGAGAGAACTTCCAAGTCCTTGACCTGGTTTCCTGCCAGCTGAGCTGACTGGGGTCTGAGGGGACTCGCTACCAAGAAGGGGACAACTGGTCTGGTCTGCCTCTGTCCAGTGGCCCAGCGGAGGCAAGCCCTGGGTCAAGGACACGTAGCAAGTCTGCGCCAGAGCAGGGGCACCGGGCAGCCCTACCTCCTCCACCAGCAGCTGTGGGTAGGACTTGACGGGTATGCTGATCACATTGGGGCCGTACATGGTCTTCCTATAAGAGGAGGCAGCCAGGCTGTCACAAGGGGCTGTGGCTGCAGGACCCTCCCAGGGTCACACAGCTCCCCAAAGAAGGCAGCTGGATGGAAGGTGGGCAAGGTAGGTCCCAGCTCTTGGGCACTGGCCCGGGCAGCACCCACCTCATGGTCTGCTCCTGGGGGCTGAGGCCAGAGCGGGAGCAGTGAATGTCGTCACAGGTGCGGCCATGGTCCAGCAGGCTGGATGGGGGAGAGGACCTTCATGTAGGTGATAGGGCCTGAGCTCTGCATCCCCCCCGTCCCCAAAAGGCTGGGGACTCGGGACTCCAGGCCCTTGCTGAGCGCCAGGAAGGAGCTCCGTCAGGAACTCTGGGCTCAGTGCACCCTCATTCCTCTGCCATCTCACCAAGGAAGCACAGCGAGAGATGGTGGTAGTGTTAACGGTGACAGGGTAGCTATTACTCAGTGACGAACATCATCTACGCTGATACCTTGTGCAAGTCACCAAACCCCTGAGCCTCATCTGCAGAACGGGGACAGTGACGGTACCCACCTCACAGGGCCATGGGCGGGTTACATGACAGCGTGAACAGAGCGCTCTGGAGAGTGCCCGTGCTCCCGCAACACCCATGCCCCAGCCCTGCTCCTGTCCCTGCAGAGTGGCACACACCTGTCTTCACTTGAGGACCTTCCTGGCTTCCCAAGCACACGTGGCCCAGGTGACCGAGTGTGGCAGTGAGCTCCAAAATGGTCAGGAGCGCCCTCCCTCCTTGGGGGACAGCACCCCGAGGTGCGTGCTCTACACTGATCCCAAGAAATCCCCAGAGGTGCTCGAGAGTCCACAGCCCAACAACATCCCCTCCTGGTGCCCCTTCCCCAGCGCCACCAGGATCACCTTCCAGACTGTTCCCTGTCCCGAACCTCATCTCGGGCTCTGCTTCTGAGACTCAGATTAGGACCTGTTGGCAGGTGGGTCAGAACCCCAAGCAGTTGGTGAGCCCAGAGTCCTAGGCAGGCTCACAGCAGGGCAAGCACCCTGGCCAGATGCGGTGTGGGGCTTCACCTACACTACCCCTTCAAAATGACCCCAGGAGGCCAGGGTGACCTCCTCCCAGTTTACAGGCAGAGGCCCCAGGGCCCAGAGCAGCTCAGTAACCTTCCCAAGGTTTCCTTGGGGCCGAGAGGGTGCCTGGACCAGCCAGGCTGCTGCACGCCCCTGGGCCAGCCCTGCTCTGGGGAAGGACATGGGCTGCACTGGCCTGGCTCCTACCTGACTTGGTAGAAGGCTTGCTGGGTCTCCATCCAGACGTAGCGCTGGCCCTGGAACACGTAGTACCGCAGCACCTGCGTCTGGCAGGGGAGAGGCAGGGTAGGAGGGAGCCCTGGTCCCGTGAGGGGCCGTGAGTGGTGGGCGAGGGAGGGAGGGGTGGTGGGCGAGGGAGGGAGGGAGGGCGGGCAGGGGGACCAGCGTCACAGGAAGGAGAGGCGGGACAGGAGATGGCACCCACTCCTTTGGGAAGACAGAATCGGGAGGTGCATGGAGAACATGGAGCCCAACCCTCCCACTGGACAGATGGTGAAAGTGAGGCCCAGAGCGACGAGGACTTGTCCAGAACCCAGCGAGTCCACTCACCGCTTCTTGCCGCCTGTGGAGCGGGGCGGTGTCCTTCCACATGCCGTCTGGGGCTGCCCCCACAGCCACCTGGCTCCGGCCATCCTCTGCCTGGGCCTGTGGGGGCAGCTCCAGGCTGGGGAGGAGCTGGCGGTTACTCTGCAGCTTGGGGCTGTCCCCAGAGCTCCCCAAACCACAGAACCAGCATCCCTTGCTGGGATGGAGGCACCAGAGCCTTCGTGGGAGGGGCAGCGGGAGTGGGGGCTTCTAGAAGGGGCGAGGGGGCTGCCTCACCTGCCCTCCCGGATGGCCTCAGTCTGCACCTGGACAGTGAAGAGCTGCCGCGAGCTATCCTGGAACAGAGGCGCGGACTCAGCCCTGGAAGAGGCCCCGCTCCGACCCCGCCCCCAGCCAGGTGGCCCCGCCCGAGAAGGCAGAAGGGGAGACTGGAGGTGCGCCCAGCCCAGCCAGCCCCTCTGCGCAAGGAGAGGACCGCCGGCCTGGTGCCCCACGGAACCCGAGCATCCGGCACCACGGCCTGGCCACTGCCCGCCCCAGCGCCAGCTGCCGGGCACTCACCTCTTTGTCTCTTATTTCGATGACGAGTGTTTCGGCGCGGGCCAGGTTGCAGGGCTGGAAGCGCAGGCGCACCCCCCACAAGGGCTTCCAGCGGAAGAGCAGCAAAGGGATCCCGGCCAGCATCCAGACCACGGCGTGATAGCCGATGACTCTCCATGGACTGCCACAGTAGCCGCTGAGCCTCTGTGGGCAGAGGGCGGCGCTGGACGGGAAAGCCGTGCGGGGCGGGCTGGGCGTTGCCGCCCCCTGTCCCCTGCGCCCTGGGCCACGTACCACGGATGAAGCTGAGGAGCTGGGGGGATCTATTGATGTCTCTATCGTCAGGGTCCCATAGCCGGTGGGCGTGCTGCCCACGAGGGGGCTGCTGTCTGCAGGCAGAAAGGAGAAGGGTCATTTTGGGGGCTCCTTTTCTCTGCCGTGCTAGAGCCGCACCCCAGCCCCCACCAGCTCTGCCAGACAAATCCCACAGCCCCTCAGCTCAGGTCTTCCCGGGCCTGTTCCACTGGTTCTGTTTTTTGGTACCCGGGATTGAACTCAGGGGTGCTTAGCCACTGAGCCACATCCCCAACCCGTGTTTACATTTTGTTTACATTTTATTTAGAGACAGGGTCTTGCTGAGTTGCTGAGGCTGGCTTTGAACTTGGGCCCTCCTTCCTCAGCTCCTGAGCTGCTGGGATTATAGGCATGTGCCACTGGGCCCAGCTTCTGTTGTCGTTTTTACTGTTTATTTTTTGGTGGTGCTGGGGATTGAACCCAGGGCCCTGTGCATGAGAGGCGAGCACTCTACCCACTGGGCTGTATCCCCAGCTCCTTCAGTTGGTTCCTAACTAGTGTCTTACTTCCTCCTGTGGAGCGCTCTGGAGAGTGCTCGCTTGTCGGCCATCTCCAAGGGGTATGTCAGCTGTCGGGACTCAGTGTCCCTCTTTCTATCCTCACTTGCCCTACCCCAAAGGTGGGGTCAGGGCCACTTGTCCTCGCTCGGTCCTGGTGCCCAGCCCAGGCCTGGAGTGAGGAGACACTGAGGAGTCTGGACTGATTATCGTCTGGCCTGCTGGCTGTCCCTCCAGACGGCCAACTGAGGCTGCTGCCGGATTTCGTCCTCCCAAGCCTCCCCTGCTGCAGAGCTGGGCTCTCAGAGCAAGAGGGCCGGGCCTCTCTGCCCTTGTGCTGGTCAGACACCACCTGGGCTTCTCTGACCTTGAAGGACCTGCGACACCACACGTGGGTGCTGGGCCCCTCCCTAGACCTGCAGAATCAGTTCCTCAGCAGGGGCGGGGCGGCGCTGGACAGCTGCCCACACTTCACAGGGGCTTCTGGAAAGTTCCTTAAGGGGCCCAGAAAACCAGGCAGGTGTGGGGCAGGCTGTTTTTCTGGGTTCCCCTCAACCTGCACTCCCCCAATCTGAGCCCTTCTAAGTTTCTTCGTAACAAGCCAGAGTCCCAAACAGCTGCTGGGGTCCCACCTGCCCAGCCTCAACTGCTGTTTCCCACCCTCGGGCTCCTGCAGCTTCCTGAGCCCAGCCAATTGTCCGAATAGTCGGGCTGAGGCGGGGGCTAGAGGTAGAGCACTCGCCGAGCATGCCTGAGGCCCTTGATCCCTGTCAGCGAGCGCACACGTGTGTACACACACACACACACACACACACCCCATGCCTGCCAACATTCCCCAAGGACTCATCAGATATGGGCTCTGCTCCTGGTCCTTTTGGTTAACACAATAGTCCTGCTAGGGAACCATGATCATCATTCCCATTTTGTACAAAAGTAGAGGCTCAGAGAGGTTCAGTAACTTGTCACAAGATCACTCAACAGGTACATGGTAGTTCCAGGTCACAGGCCCAGGCAGGCTGACTCCCCAGCTGGGTTTCTCTGTTTGTTTTTTAATTAAACAAGGGGTTTATTTGTCTGATAGAAAGAGAATCCGGGGTGTGGGTAACAATAGCGCCAGCACCTGGAGGGAACTGGGCTCCTTCCTTGTCCTGCTGCTGTCCTCCCTGACCACAGCTACAGCTGCAGACCTGCGATCACAAGCTGGGGGGGCCATATCTCACCTGGCTCATTGCCAGAAGAGGGTGGCAGAGGAGCAGGTGGGCGAGGGCAGGGGTGGGCCTCCAGCCAGCGCCTTCGGGGTCTGGTCCACCCTGAGGTGGCGGCTCACCTCTCCCTGTCGGCTAAGGTTCAGGTCAAAACCGGCACCCTGCTCACCCCCCAGAGAGCCAGACCCCTGAGAAGCCGTGGGTGGAGGCAAGAGGAGATAAAAAGCGCTTCCTTCCTTCAGGACACAACGGCCGAGTGTGCCCATGAGGGCTGCCTGAGAGTCCCCTCCCCAGACTGGTGCTGCGAGACTCGCGCGGCACTGCGGGGGCCCCCCCTGGGCTCCCCGGGGCGTGGGGCATCTCCCCATCAGGCCCTCCTGCCAGCCCTCCTGGAATGAGGGAGGTCACAACCACCCACCGTGGTACTGAGAACAGAAAGGCCAGCTGACAGCGTCTGAGCGCTGTGCAGGTGACAGGGGCAGCTCTGAGCCTCTAGGAATCGTCTCATCTCACTCTCCTGGCGAGACCCTGGGGTGGGCTCAGGGTGGAGACTCGGCACAAAGGCCACCAGTAAGGGAGCAGCCAGGGGTCAGTGCCCATCCTGGGCTGCAGGCTCACAGGGACACCTTTAGACAACAGGACCCAGCCCAAGCCCCCTGCAGCCTCTGTCAAACGATGACTCAGAAACCAAGTGGACCAAGGCCCCACCTGTGGCACCCAGGGCCTCCCAGCGCAGGCTGACTCAGAGCAATGGCAGCAGGGCTAGCTCCAGAGAGGCTGGTCACCAGGGAGCCAGTGCACACACACTCACACACACACTCAGAGACACACAGACACACTTAGACACACTCACACACAGACACATACACAGACTCTCACAATTAGACACACACAGACACACACCCACTCTCACTCACAGAGACAGACTCACACACACTCAGACACACACAGACACACTTAGACACACTCACACACAGACACATACACAGACTCTCACAGAGACACACACAGACACACACCCACTCTCACTCACAGACAGACTCACACACACTCACACACACACAGACACACTTAGACACACTCACACACAGACACATACACAGACTCTTACAGAGACACACACAGACACACACTCTCACACACACACAGACACACTTAGACACACTCACACACAGACACATACACAGACTCTCACACACAATTAGACACACACACTCTCACTCACAGAGACACACACAGACTCACACACACACTCAGAGACACACAAACACACTTAGACACACTCACACACAAACACATACACAGACTCTTACACACACACTCTCACTCACAGAGACACAGACACACACACACACTCTCACTCACAGAGACACACACAGACTCACACACACTCTCACAGAGACACACACAGACTCACACACCCACATTCACACTCACATGAGGTGGGGGCCCGCTGGCCGGGGCAGAGTCTCCTTTCCTCCCCTCCCTCATCTGCAGAAGGGGACAGCTGCGGCCTCTGCTCTCCTCCAGGGCCTGGGGGCGGGCGCCTGGTGGGGGCAGAGGGCATTCAGAACACGTGTCTGCAGTGCCAGGTTTGCAGGTCCTTGGCCACCAGAAGGCCACAGCCTTTTCTTGCCTCTTCTGGGACGGTTGGCCCTGGAGTCCCACCTGGGCTTAGCCAAAGCCCTTGATCCCCCTGAGACCGGCTCCCGAGCGGCACAGGTGGGCAGTCTCTTGCCCTCCATGACTGGGCCTGGGCATCTCTATGGCGTCGGGGAAAGGGCACCTCAGGGTCACCAGGGCACACCGCCCCCGGCCTGTGAAGCGGAGCTACTTCTGTCCCTGGTTCACAGTCTGGGAGCTGGAGGTGCAGGGCAGAGCCTCACGTCACCGCCACATCTTCGTCATAGACTGTGCTCCTGGGCCAGGTGCGGTGGCCCATGCCCGTAATCCCAGCAACACAGGAGGCTGAGGCAGGAGGACAGCAAAGTTCAAGGTCAGCCTGGGAAATTTAGACCCAAAAGCAACTTAGTGAGACCCTGTGTCAAAGTAAAAAATAGAAAGGGCTGGAGATGTGGCTCCGGGGTAAGCGCCACCCCAGAGCCTGAGTCAACGTTTAGTCACGCTCCTGGCTCCAATGGCTTTCACAGGCAGGGGCCTGGTGTCTCTGGCCTTCCGCTGCCCATCTCTAGGGTGGTGACCCCAGGGACCCTGTGTGCAGCTGGTGCAGAGGAAGCCGGAGCAGCCGCCACGGCAGGTGTCGGAGGTTCTGCAGGCCTGACAGGTGGCGGCGCCCTGCCCAGGGGTGTGGCGTCTCTGGCCCACTTCCCAGACAGATCCTTCCCTTCCCATCATCTAGGCTGAAACCCAGCGCTGTGCCCCTGCCCCAGGCCTGTTCCACAGCTCCTCCCGGTGCCAGAAGCCCTCAAGCCAAGAGCTGCAGCGATCTCGGGCCGGGGAAGGAAGCGGGCTGTGCTGGCCTGATCTCATCCTTCACCAGCCCCTGAAGATGGGAAGCCCACACTGCCCACCATATCCACTGCAGCCAGCCGGGCCCACGGCCTTGCATGGGCTCTCCCAGGTCCTGCTCACGGTGTCCGCTGCATGCCAGGGTTGGTAAACATTGAGTGAATGAAGAATGCACCCCACAGACATGGTGGAACATGAGGCCACACATGGTGCCAAGAGCCACACCACCCAGCCCTGTGAGGCACACAGGCTCCAACCTCTTCCTAAAGGGCTTTTATGTTCCTTCCCTCTGGGAAGTTCTTCCTTCAGTCTATCACCATACTCGCCATTTCACTAGGACACTTCCCAGTCAACCTTGGGAAGTGGGGGGAGAGAGGAAATTGCAGGAGGAGGAAGTCACATCTGTGAGTCCTGGCAAGGGCCAAGCCCAGGGCACACTGTCCTGCAGGACACCTGTCAAAACACTGGAGTGGGCTGTTCATCTCTATTCACAGCTTGGCAGCTCGGAGGCTCACGGGAGGCATCTGAGCTCTTGCCAGCTCGGGCCAGCCCAGAGCAGGCTCCTGCAGCCTGGGTGGGGTGAGAACTGTCCCAGAGATGCCTGCTCCTGCTGTCCTGAGCAACCGCCGCCACATCGCGAGAACTTGTGAGGCTTTTGTGCCCTGGCTCACTGTCTTTACACGCTTCAACAAGGAGGACAGACTAGTTGGGGAAACTGAGGAATGGGGCTCCCTGCCCAGGGTCACATAACATGAAAGGGAAAGCTGGGAATGTGGGTCTGAAAGTACACTCCTCTTTTAGTCCATCTTCACATGGAAAATATAGATCAGAACTTCCTTTAAATGTGCATGCCTATAATCCCAGCAGCTCAGGGGGCTGAGGAAGGAGGATCCAAGTTCAAAGCCAGCCTCAGCAACTTAGTGAGACCCTGTCTCTAAAGGGCTGGGGGTGTGGCTCAGTGATCCTGGGTTTCATCCCCAGTACCACCAAAAAAAAAAAAAAAAAAAAAAAACCTCATTTAAAATAAGGCCTGAGGGCTGGGAGGGTAGCTCAGCAATGGAGCACTTGCCTAGCATGCCCAAGGCCCAGGTTTAACACTCAGCACTGCAAAAAATTAAATGAGAATATGTCAAGAGCTTTGTAATGTTTTGAACAACCAATAAAAAAAAATAAAAATAAATTTAAAAAAAAATTAAATGAGGAGCTGGGGTTGTAGCTCAGTGGTGCAGTGCTTGCCTTACATGTGTGAAGCACTGGGTTTGATCCTCAGCACCATGTAAAAATAAATAAATAAAATAAAGGTATTGTCCATCTGCAACTAAAAATACTACAGAGAGAGAGGGGTGTGGGGGGGGGGAGAGAGGGAGAAAAAGAGAAAGAGACCCAAAGGTGTTGATTCACATGTGCAGTCATACAGGTATGAGTGACCAAGACTGGACATGGTCTGAGCTCACAGGCCTGGGGCCGTGGCACCAGCTGTGTAGAGCAGAAAGGCCAGAGTCAAAACCATCTGGGAACCTCTTGTTTCCTGCGGAAGCCCCCGCTTCCTGCTGATGACCTGGCAACGGCCCAGGGCGACTGCCTCCTACCTCACTGTGGTCCCTGGGGCCTGGAGCCCCTGTCGTCACCAGGCTAGCCTGGTGACTCTGCATGATATCTGGATCTGGAGTTTGGGGGCCATCTTTCCTCTTGCGATGCTGGGACAGAACCCTGTGCGTGCTAGGCGAGAGCTCCACCACTGAGCAGCACCCCGCCTCTCCTTCCCCTTCCTCAGGTGGATGCACTCGGGCTGGGGGCTGCAGAGGAGGTGTGGAGAGGCTGACTGAGAGGGCTGCAGCTGCGGCCCATCTGGGTAGGAGAGCTCTATGGGCCTCATTCCCAGCTGGTGGAATTAGGCTCTGATGCCCGTGATGGGGACCTTGGAGGGTGTGGTCCTCGGGTCTGGTGCTGACAGGCTTCCTCTGGAGGCCCGAGGTAGGGGATCTGGAGCGGTTTGTGCCCCCGACACTTAGCCAGTCACTGAGGAGCCCTGGCTTCCCCAACCCCATTCATTCAGTCCGGGGGACTATCTGCCCAGAGGCCCCGAGGGCCCAGGGTGGTGCGCCACTTTCCCCACCTGGACACTGTCACTCAGGCTGGATCCCAGTTGGTGGGAGGGGGCGCCTCCGCGGCCCCTCACGACAGGGCAGCCCCGCCAAGGTGTAGGAGTGAGGGAGGGAGCCGGCCGTCGCGGCGCCATCCCAGGCTCTGGCCTCTGGGGCAAGGCCTGGGGACGGGTGTCCTTAAGGAGGAGGGGGCCCAAGATCTCCGCCCCGGGGCCGCTCCCCGAGTCGCAAACCCACGGTGGGGGCGTCGCCTCCGCCGCCCCCGGAGATGCTGCGCGGGGCGGGCCGGGCGCGCGGGGCTGGGCACCCACCTGCGCTCATGTCGGCTCCTCGCGCTCATCGCCGGCCCGGCGTGCGCAAGGCCCCGGCGGGGCGCGGTCCTGGCGGCGCGGGCTGGGCGCGGGCTGGGCGCGGGACGCGGCGGCCACCTGCGTTCGCGGCGGCGGCGCGGCTCGGAGCTGCCGCAGTCTGTGTGCAGCCGCCAAGCCCCGCCCCGGCTGCGGCCCACGTCCGCGCCGCGCCCGGGCTGCCGGGACTTGTAGTCCCAGCCCGCCGCCTGGGGCGCACGCCGGGGTCTCCGGAGAGGGGACAGCCCCGACGCACAGCCCCAGCTGCACGCCGCGGTGGTGACGCACGCTGCGCGCTGGTTCCGGCTGCCTCCGTCTCTCCCAGGGTGCACGGCCACGGGCGAGTCACCTAACCCCTCTGGGCCTCGGTCCCTAACCTGTAGGATGACAGTGACGTCAGCCATGCTTGGGTATTGTGAGGATCAGACAAGAACATGCACTTAGAACAATGTGGCACTGCCGGGTAAATGTCAAGGAAGGAAGGAACACACACCTGCCGGACTCCCACGGGCAGATACGACCCGGAAAAATGCCCCTAGGTGCTGGCAGAGGCTGTGAGGATACATCAGCGAGATGGCGGAGGCAGACCCCGAGCCTAAGGTCCTGGAGGCGTGACCTGTGGACACACCTGCGCCGGTGGCAGGCAGGGAGACCTGAAAAGCACTAGAGAGATGTCATGCCTGAACGCAGCATTGAGCACACTGCCCGAGAGTGACAGTATTCCTCAGACTCCAGGGTCAGTGGCCTCTGTGCTAGATCCATCCGCCACTTGTCCAGTATGAATTTACCGAGTGTCATGCACAGTTTTAGGGGCTGGGAATGTCAGGTGAGCCAACAGACACAGCTCTGTCCCTGTGGTGCCTAGTGTGCACTGGGAAGCAGCCCAAGGCAAGCAAAGCCAAACTCCAACAATAACCTATTGTGGAAAGTACTAGAAGGATGCAGAGCTGTGGTGGTTTGAGATAGTGGGGGACAGTTTCCAGAGGGGACAGCAAGGAGTCCTTGGCTGCTCCTGTCATAGCAAGAGCTCCATGAACACTGGGTGTTGGAATACTCACTGGCAGGACTTGAAGGTGGATAGGATGGGATTGGAGGTGCAGAAATGCAGAGTCAAAGTTGTGCCCCTGGTGAGGTGGTGCATGTTGTAATCCCAGCAACTCAGGAGGCTGAGGCAGGAGAATGGCAAGTTGGAGGCCAGCCTAGGCAACACAGGGAAGCCCTAAGCCATTTAGTGAGACCCTGTCTCAAAATAAATAAAAAAAGGGGCCTGGAGATGTGACTCGGTGATTATGTATTCCTGGATTCAGTCCCCTGTACCAAAACAAGGCAAAACAAAATTTACCCCGAAATTTTGGCCTGAGCATCTGGGGACAGTAGAGTCATTTTCTGAGCTGTAGCAGGCTGCTGGTGGAGCAGTTTGGAGGGGCCATTCCTGTTGACCCCTTGGGGCATGGTGCTGTCTTCCCTAAACCAGGACATAAACTCTTTTCACCAGCATGTGACATTTCCAGTGGGGACAGGGTGCTTAACCACTCAGGGTCCCCGTGGCCTCCTGCATCAGGCACTTTAACCAGGAACTCAGACCTCCAGGGCGGCAGGAGGGCTGGGGTTGGAAATGGCTAGCTTGAGGTGGCCTTGCCCAGAGGCAGTGTGGCACAGTGGCAAGGGGCTGGGGCCAGGCATCAGAAAGACCTGGGTGCATTGGTTGCTTTCTCAAAAAAGTCACTTTCCCTGTCTGAGCCTCCCCCGCTGTGAAATGGAAGCCGTTGAGGGCATGAAATGAGATGTCCGGTGCTCAGAGCGCAGTGCTTTCTCTCCGTGCTGGAGATGGGTTTGAAGCTTCACAGAAGCAGGGGCGTGGGCGTGGGGCACCGCAAGGTCGCTCCCCACATTCTCTCTGCTGTAGACACTGTTGACATTCAAGAAGCTCCATCCCGAGCCACACCTGCAGCTGGGTCCGTCTCCTGGATGGGGCAGGAGGCCAGGGAAGTTCCCTTCCAACCACAGAGGATGTGGGAGGTCCTGCCATCTGCCGGGGTTACCTTTGGGGAAGTGGCTCTCGCTGTGTGGTCGTCCAGGTGGTCTGTGGGCCCGGCTCTCCTCCCAGATAACCATAGCTGAAATTTCCAGTCACATGTGGGCCAGGACTGACCGAATATCTTCCTTCCTGACTGCTGCCCCCTTGGGGGCCTGAGCCCAGCCCTCACAGGCCACTTGCTCCAAAATGCAAAAGATTGAGAAATCACTAATGTGGGTCAGTTCATTCCAGTGCGTGTGTCACTTCTTGATTTCTCCAGTTTCACTAGATTTTTGCAACCAAAGGGGATTTTCTCAGCTGGTGACAAACCCGGTACTAAGATTACGGCTATTTAACGCACAGCAAAAGGCAGTTGCAGCTGTATCTTTTTTCTTTTTTTTTTTTTGGTTACAGGGGTTGAACCCAGAAGCACTTTACTATTGAGCTACATCCCCTGCCCTCTTTTTAAATTTTGAGTCAGAGTCTTGCTAAGTTGCCGAGGTTCCCCTTCAATTGCCAGCTTTCGGACTTGAGATCCTCATACTTGGACCTTAGCAGTCTCTGGGACTACAGGTAGCGCGTGCCACTGCACCCAGCAGCCATTTGTCTCGTAGTCATCCGAGGGCAAGGAAGGGAAGGACCTGAAGAGAATCTGAGTGATGGGAGGTCTCTGCTGCATTGAGCAGAAACAGAGGAGACAGGGGCCTTGTGCAGAAAAACCATCTTCTGACCTGGCTGGTCTTGTTGGAAATTTACCAAATTCAGTCCCAGAGGGTGCCTGTAATCCAATCGCAGTGGCTCAGGAGGCTGAGGCAGAAGGATCATAAATTCAAAGCCAGCCTCAGTAATTTAGTGAGACCCTAAGCAGCTCAGCGAGACCCTGTCTCTAAAATATAGAAAGGGCTGGGGATGTGGCTCAGTGGTTAAGTGCCCCTGGGTTTAATCCTCAGTACAAAAAAAAAAAAAAAAGTCTTGTGGCTGTTAAAATCCAACAGTTGCCTCCAATTTGATGAAAGATTAAATAAGCAACAAATTAAACTATCCATTGATAACATTCCAGTTTAGCTCAAATTCAAATGGAGTGAGAGAGACCTGGGGGGCCGACATGACTGATGAGGGTCATCTATCCCAAGCCACAGCCAGTTAGCTCATCATAGCTGGGGTCTTGCCTGCCTTTAAGGCACTCATGAGAAAACTCCATCTTTCCCTACAAATCTAGAGGTTAGGAGCAGAGTCAAATTATCCAGGAATCCAAGGAATGTGACCTGCCTGGGCTGACGGAAATCCATGAGGTCTGCACTGGGGGATCCAGGGGCATGGCTGGTGGGTTTGTCCCGGTGACCCTACAAGGGCTTGCAGTAGGGCTGCCTGAGAGGTTTTTTTTCTCTCGCTGGAGTGTTAAGTTGGAACACCTGCTTGTGTTCTGTGTGGTCTTAGAGTGTCAAGAATTCTGAGATGCTGCAGTGGAGGGTCTGTAAAGACCCAGATCTCTGATTTTTTTTTTTTTCCTTTTCTTGTGGAGCTGGGAATGGACCCCAGGGCCTTGTTCTTTCGGAGCATGGGCTCCACCCCTGAGCCACACCCCAGTCCTACTTAAATATCAATGCTCCTTTCTAATTTATGACCTTGGCTTCTAGTTGGCGGGAAACAACTCTGTGTCTTTACCCCTAGACCTTACCTTCTTCAATGCCTGCAACTAGTGCTCTTAAAGCCAGAAATGCTTTCAGATTCATTCTCCATGAGTCAGACATTTTCTAAGTCACCGGGCTCAGGCTCATGATGTTTCTGGCATGACCTGGGCTTCCTGCTACGGCTTAAAAAGTAAAGTAGCCCTGGGTTACTCATTGTTTTATTTATTTTGTGTGTTGGGGATCAAACCCAGGGGTGTTTGTTTTACCACTGAGCCACATTCCCAGCCCTTTTTAATTTTTATTTTAATTTTTTAATTCCCTTTTTCTTTTTATTAGTTCTAATCAGTTACACATGACAGTGGGAAGCTCTTCGACTCATTGAACACAAACGGAGCAGAATTTTTCCCTTCTCTGGTTGTACATGAAGTAGTGCCACACCATTGGTGCCATCCATGTACCTAGGGTAATGTCCATCTCATTCCCCCATCTTTTTTACCCCTTTGCCCTTCCTTCTCTTTAATTTTTATTTTGATAGATCCTTGCTAAGTTACTGAAGCTGCCCTCGAACTTAGGATCCTCCTGCCTCATCCCTCCATAAGCCTTGAGTTATTTGGAAAAGGGAAAATAGGAACTATCCGAATATCCATTAGTAAGTGTCAAAATCTTTTCTTTTCTTGGGGCACTGAGTAGGAATAGTTAATGGGAATTTTTTTTCCAAATCACTCTATGGGGTTTACCTGGAGAAACATTTCCAGCCAACTTTGTCCTGGAGTAGTGGGAAAACGGAAGTGGGGGTAGATCTATAGAAATTACGGTAAAATTCAAACCCAAGGGCTTAAAGGTCAATTGCAGGGTCAGGGACCCAGCCAATAGCCTTAACACTTTTCTAATACCTGTTTTGCATGGATTTTGGTCGGTATCTCTACCTGAAAGATGGATGATTAGCCCAGTGTCCCAAGGTTAGTACATTTAGGTGGAAAACTTATCAGTTCCTCCCTTGCTTTGAGGGAATTGGGTCTCTTCTTCTACACTGGGGAAAAAAAAAAAAAAAAAAAACTAATAAATTTGTTCACTCTTGCCTTCTGTTATTGTTCGTGCATCTAAATTTTTTTTTTCAGTTGTAGTTGGACACAATACCTTTGTTTTATTTATTTTTTATGTGGTGCTGAGGATCGAACTCAGGGCCTCACACGTGCTAGGCAAGTGCTCTACTGCTGAGCCCTGACCCCAGCCCTTTTATTTTTCAAATTTGCTAGACAAGAACCCAGGAAGAAATTGGTGAAGCAGAAAATCAAGTTCATTTCAATCCCTGTTTTTAATCCTGGGGATGGAACCCATGGCCTCCATGTATGCTAGGCAA